AAAAAAAAAAAAAAAAAAAAAAAAAAAAAAAAAAAAAAAAATTCCAAAGGATTCGTAAACAAGTTTTAGGAATGGCGTAAGTTAATAAGTATAGCCAGAGATTCTCTCATTTAACTGTAGTTTCATATTATATTGCACTTAAAACGAAAGAAAAAGCTTATTATATTTAAAATATTTCTTAAAATATCAAATTAGTATATAATATATAACGATCCAACCATTTTTTTTATATAAATATATGTTGAAATACAATGCTTTTCAATTATCAAGACATTATAAATTATTTATAAATTTTACATTTAAGATTTAAGATTTAGTACTTTTCAATTATGGAATTATAAAATATTAGTAATTTAATGAGAAAAATAATAATGATAATTTTGCATTAAAGAAAATTACTTAATTCTTTCAAAATTAGTACTACTTCTTATATCCAAAAAGATTTGTTTATTTTATTGAAATTACATATTACTTCATTTCAACTGAAAGTATTAAATAATACTGTAATTATTATTATTTTTATTATTATTATTATTATTATTATTATTGTTATTATTATTATTGTTATAAATAACACTATAATTAAAATATAACTAGATACTTTTATCGAATTATTTTTAATGTAAATGTTAATTCAAATTTGTTAATACATCTAAAGAAATTAAAACTTTTCTCAATATAGTCTTAATGAATTAAAAAAAAAATTTTATTAATTATTATAATAAATTTAAAAAATCAGAACACTAGTCATCAAATTATATATATATATATATATATATATATATGCTATTACAATTCTTCTTACTAATTGTCTAATTTAAATTTTAAATATAGGTATAATTAATTTAACGTGTGAAATTTGTCAAAATAAAATAGACTATTCATTTTATGAACGAATTTCTAAGATAAAATGCAGGGAGAATTAGAATTCTAATATTATTTTTACGTAGATAAAAATATTCATAAAATACAAGTAAAATTTTTTTTTAATTATTACATTCCATATTCAAATGCATGACGATGCTTTCTTCCTACATACTGTATCAACATCGTCTGTGTTAATTTATGATAAATTTTTAATTTATTACAGCGAAATATCATTTTAAATTACAAAAATTATATAGTCAATCGAGGATTAACGGAATACCGTAATAACAGTATTTGAATTAAGAGTTAAGAAAATCGCATTTTTATATATTCAAAGTTTAAATTCATAGAAACATTATTAATGTGCTTATTAAAATTATTTACTCGTTCGTTGATTAATAAAATAATTTTGAAATACAAATGTAAATATTTTATTGTATTATTAAATAATAATTATAATTCAGATATGATCATTGCTATTCCATTCAAAGTTATAGCATGTATATATTTTTAACATATACATATAGATTTTATATATATAGAAGAAATACTTCTTGAAATTGTATGAAAAATACTTGAATCGATCGTTTAAGGACATATTATATCTTTACTTTGGTTTTTTCATTATTTTTATTAGTGATTATAGTTTTTTTATTTTTAATCTGATAATTTATCAATGATATGTTAATATAACTAATTACATGTTTTTATAAAAAATCATTACATCGGTACAGGTAAAATTGCATTTAAAATTCATTGAAATCGAATAACTTGAAAGGATTTCAGTAAAAAATCATTATTTGAAGATTTACAAATCGTAATTCGATTCATGCATATTCAAATTACTTTCCTGAGTTCTTCGATAATTTAAGTCTTCAGCAACTTCATTTGATAAAAAAAATTGAATTTTTAGAAATAATTTTATTTGATAGTACATTATATTCTACGATTTTAATTTCTTTTTAAAGTAAATATTTATTAGTATTGCCTAGGAATCTATGTATGTGTATTCATTTTAACACTTATCATCTCGATTTTGTGAAAAAAAAATAAGATAGTTTCTTTTCTCACTTAATCGAATATTTTTAAATTTAATGAACTTTTTGTAAATTATAATGTTTCAAAGACATTAAACATTTCAATGTTATGATTATATACTCAACTAGTGATAAAACAAGAAATTAATGAAAATAATTCATACCAAAATCATTTAAATAATAAAAAAATAATTAAAAGAAATAACACTACGTACTAAATATTATATATAGATATATACACACACATATATATATGTATATATATATTTTTTTTATATTATTAAAGAAAAATTTGTTATGTCAGAAAAGAGTTTTTATTCGAAAATGCGAGTAAATTTTATTAATAAAATGACAATGCAAGTATTGCGAATGAAAATATGTATAAAATATGCGGATGCCTAATGTAAGTATTAGAATGAAATTTCGTTTAAAATAAATTTTTAATATTTTATAAATATAATGTATAAAAATTCTAGTAATATTTAGATTAATATAAGAAGCTTTATCCGTTCAAATTTTGTATAAAATTTTGAATAATATAAAAACATTTTTCTTTCAATTTAGTTACTTTTTTCTTCTCATCTTTCTACTATTGTCTACGGCAACTGCAGCCCAAAGTAACTGGCGTCCCTGCATAGAAGTTAAACGCACATTACGCATACCATGCCAATGCACTGAAGCTATTTCAAACTTGAACAATACTACACTGTCGCTTGAAGTAAACTGTGATAATATTATTCTTGCTGATGATGCTTTATCCAGTCTTTCTGGTCAACCAATCGTCTCTTTCAGTCAACAATTTTGCGGTCATCAAAATCTACCCAACGAACTAATCAGTATTTTACCCGAAAATATTGAAAAGCTAAACCTTTGTAATAATGAGATTAGCCGATTAATGGATCGTCAATTACAAAGATTTATTAATTTAAATGAGTTGAGATTAGCAAACAACGCGTTAGGTGACAATCTTAATCCTATTTTTTCTAGCAATGAATTTCATGATATTTCAAGCTTGAAAATATTGGATTTGCAATCTAACGGATTACGGCATCTAGAAGAAGGAATATTTAAAAGATGTATCAATTTGGAAGAGTTATACCTTGATTATAATAATTTAACAAGCCCTCCTATTGATTCGCTCAAAGGACCAAAAGCTATAAAGGTACTGAGTCTTGCTGGAAATAATATTGGTATGTACTGAAAATATAAATACTTTTAACAATAAAAATAAAAGAAATATTTTTAGAAAATTTATGTTTTTACACGTACCTTTCCAAATGATTGAAAGTTAATATAATAAAAGTTTTTTATTATTCTTCAAGTAGTTTATATATATATATATATATATATATATATATATATATATTACATTTCAATTAATTTATTAATTAAATATAGTTGTGATTTTGTATATACTGAACGAATATATTTTTATTTTTTTAAGTGTGCATTTTTATTAAAATAATTACACGTTCACAGGAACAATACGTAGAGGTACATTCTCAATATTAGGACGGACTCTTTTACATCTTGACTTAAGCAGCAATGAATTATTGCACTTTGAAGATGGAGCTTTAATCGAAATGGTAAATCTGTTGACACTCAATATATCTCACAATAATCTGCAGCGTTTAAATAGTGATGTTTTCAAAGGTAAGTGTTCCTCTCTTTAATACTTACAAGAACTCGTAATTGATAAACTAACTTCGATGTTGTCAAAATATTTTTGAGTATTTGTAATTAATTTTTTTAACACAGTAAATCAGTAGAATAAAAATATTCTTATATGTTCAATGATATTGGGCATTCCAATAATACTTAATAACTATTAAATCTATTAAGTTAATTAATCAGGCTATTTTGTAATAAACAGTGATATAAAATGATATCATGATTATTGAATAATATAATAAAATGTATTTTAATGAAATTCTCAATTGAAAACTCCAGATTTATTCATATTATTTTATCGATTCTTATAATCCTCTATAATTTGCTTCTCATATAAATTTCTGAAATTTAAAATAATTATTTAAATTTTTAAGAATATATTATTTAGTTTTTAATATTTACTATTTACTTACTATGTAAAATATATTTTCTAATGTACAATGTTTTTAAAGTTAGTTGAATTTAATTTTTTCATTTACAGATGCTATTAAACTTCAACAACTTGATATTTCCAGCAATTTTTTAAAATATTTTCCTCTGGATGCATTACATTATTCAAAGGGAATTACATTTCTTAATATCTCTAATAATTTGATTACCGTAAGTAGAGAAATAATTATAATTAAAAATATTTATTATAATTGTTAGGAGCTAAATATATACTATAAAATTAAATAAAATTATTATGATAGAATAAAATTTATGGTGCCATTCCCATAAAATAAAATATTCGAGCCAATATTATTAATAGGAGCATGTGCTTATTTATTTATAGTTGTAGGTAAGTTATGCAAAAATTATGTAAGCATAACGAAGATTCAAAACATATATAAAACAAAGGCATTTAGATTTACTTGTTATTGAACATTAATTTAAATTTAATTTGTTCAATTCAAAAATTTCAAAATCTGTCATTCATTTTCAGGAATTAGATGATGCACATTTATCTAATTTAAAAAATCTTGAGTTTTTGGATCTCAGCCGTAATAACATTGGACGCTTAAGTACAAATGCATTTATCACATCCACATCTTTAATTCAATTAGATCTTAGTTTCAATGCTCTACGCGCGGTAAGCATATATTTTTCATATATAATTGACATTTTTTTATTTAAATTGTTTAAACTTCAAAAGATTTTTAAATAATTTTTAAACATCATAATATTATATAAAATATGTATTTGAAATTATTATAAATATCATTGTCCATAAGTAATTTTCAGACTATTGTAAAATAAACATAACAAATAATATCATAACATGATAAATTAATTTTGATAAAGCTAGATTTCATGTGAAAATTATAAAAATATTCTTACAATTTTTTACTATGCTGTATCCGCCAATGCAAGCGTTTATCAACGCATTTACATAGATTTATAAATTTCTTTTTTTAATGAATGATTAATATCTATATAAGTTTAGAAAATTTTCAACTTAAAATTCGTCTAACGAAATTATGTCAATTTAATTAACAAATACTTTACTCAATGATTTTTTTAGATATTTTATATTTTTAAATATATACAATTTTTTTCTATTGTTTACTTTTACTTTCTATTTTCTATTTTTACTTTTGTGAATTTATGTAAAATTTAAATATTATTAACAAAGATAACATAGAATCAACAAGAATTTTTAATAAAATTTTCTCTTTTTTTTCAATATTTTAGAATAATTTGAAATATTTTATTTTTATACAGATTGAAGAAGCTTCATTTGGAGGACTTACAAATCTGCAATATCTTTCACTTCGAGATAATAATATTTTATTAATGCCATCGGCATCTTTAGCACGATTACCGTCTTTAATGCATCTCAATTTAGAATTTAATCGCATTGCAGTTATTACAAGTGAAATTCTTCGTACTAGTGTGCCACACTTAACTAGCTTCAGTTTAAAACATAATCTTATGCGCGAACTTCCACCTCGACTATTTTATCATTTTAATAAGCTTGATAGTCTTGAATTATCTGGCAACATGATTTCAGAAATCGATCGGCAAAGTTTTGTAGGTATTGAAGATACTTTAACGTATCTTGATTTATCTGCTAACCAAATAAGTATTATCGACGAATTACCATTAAAAAACTTAGTATCGTTAAATTTAGCAGATAATCTTTTAAAGAAAATATCTCCTGGAATATTTAAGCATTTTAATCAATTACAATACCTAAATATCAGTAATAATCCACTTTATGGAGGATTTCCACCAATTTTTCCAAAATCTTTGATTTCTCTCGATGCTTCGTTTACCGATCTTCAAATACTGCCATCAGTCTTATTATTGAATTTAGAAAATCTTGAAAGTATTTCCTTTTTAGGAAATAAATTACAAGAAATTGGTGAAAATACATTCAAAAATCTCTATAATCTTACTAGTATCGATCTTTCTTATAATAAAATTGCGAACATAGAGTCTGAAGCATTTGTAGGTCTGCAGAACCTTTATAAATTGAATCTCCAGGGAAATAATTTGAGAATATTTGGAGGAGAACATTTTAATACCGGAACTGGTTTAGAAATTTTAAATTTGTCTAATAATGTAATAGAGTATTTATCCCCAACTGTATTCATAATACATCCGAGATTAAGAGAAATCGACTTATCTTGGAACCGATTCACGATTTTTCCGAACGAATTAATGAAAACTCTTCAATTTCTGGAAATTCTAAATTTATCCAATAATTTATTGCACACAATAAAAGAGTTCGGTTTCGCTCAAATAATTCGTTTAAGAGATTTAAATCTTTCTAATAATCGAATCGAATCGGTGGAAGAGTTAGCATTTCATAATTCAACACAACTGCAACGACTTGATTTATCAAACAATCGCTTAGAATACTTAAGTGAGCGAATGATGGAAGGTATACTTCGAATGGAAAAACTTGATTTAACGAACAATCGTTTGTCATCTCTACCTGAGAAAATCTTTGATGTGTCAAGAATTCGTAGTCTTGAAGGAATAAATCTTTCGGGTAATTTTTTTGTAGAGATACCAACGCGAGCATTGCAAAAGCAAGTAGCGAACTTAAGGTGTTTAAACATTGCTCGTAACCGATTATCAGAAATTTTTACTCAAGACATTATAAGTAGTGTGAAGTGTTTAGATATTTCAGAAAATTCTTTAAGTGAAAACACTGTTTATAGGATTCTCAGTGAAGCTAAAGTATTGCGATATTTAAATATTGCATCCTGTGGTGTTCACAAAATAACTAAATTAGAGGCTCCATTTTTACAGTATCTCAATTTGTCTAATAATGCTCTTAAACATATCGAGTCCTTTGCTTTAGAACGTACAACGATGTTGGAAGATCTTGATATTTCAAAAAATCAACTTCAAAGCTTTGAAAGTCTTCTCAATACTTTTGGTTCAATCTCTCCTTTAAAAATTCTCGATATTTCTGAAAACGATATAAAAATTGTTAACGAAAGCTCTTTAATTGGTTTTGAAAACTTAAAAAAGCTAAAAATGTTTGATTTGATAAATTGCACGCGAATAGAAAAAAGTGCTTTCAAATCATTATTTAAACTTCGAAATTTACAAGCGTTTAATTTTCCAAGGCTAGGCTATTTTGACGTCCAAGGAATAATAAAAGAAATGAATAATCTTGAAGCTTTAGACATTGAAATAAAGGATTTAAATGTGGGCAATGAGCAATTATTTATAAGTATACATCCACGCTTAAAATCTCTTATTTTAAGGGGCGAAAGATTACGAAATGTTCTATCAAGTTTGCTTGTAGGCATAAAATCACCGGACCTTTCTATTCAGTTTAAAAATACCTCGATTGAGACAATTCCAGCAACTTTACTATTTCCAGTTCCGCGCTCAACACTTATAGAATTAGATGTAAGTGGTAGTAAATTAAAAATCATTTCTTCCCAGCTCATCTCAACATTTGAAGAACGGAGTAAATTTATTCAAATAAAGGGACTTAAACTTAAAATCAAATGCGATTGTGAAGCTAAACATTTATGGAGATGGTACAAAAATATGGAACTTCAAAGGGAAAATTCCATTACATGTATAACACCCGAAAGTTTAAAAGGATATTCACTACTAAATCTTACTGAAAAGCGATTATCTTGCATTCCTGAACAAAGCACGACATTACTTCAACTCGAAAATACAGAAACAATTACTACAACGAAACGGCCTACAAGTTCAAAACCTGAAGTCATCTGGACCATTGCTCCAACAACTCAAGTAAATTTGCTTAATACAATGTTTATGTATATAAAGAAAAATGAGATTATTATAAATTTTTCCGTAATAATTTTATATAATGATTTTTCTAGTTATTTTAATTTTTCATACGACACTGTTAAATTTATTTATCAATTTTAGGACTCTAGAAATACAAAGTACAGTGTTGGAGATTCTCCTATGAATGTATCTAGCGGCATAACAAATAATACTGACGATACATTAATAATCAGTATAGTCGGTGGCATTGTAGCTTTTATCGCCATTGTTATGATTATCATTTGCATTTGTCGATTACGTTGGAGTAATCAGATGAATCAGTCTCGTATGCAAGCGGCCATGTCATCCAGTATTCACGAAGCATCGATGCTTCGCCCATCAAGCGCCTATAGTGGTAAATTAAATCAGGACTTGTATGTCAGTTCGTACAATGGTTCAACATTAGGGCATAATAATAACTCGTCAATTGTACCAGCCACACAAATACCAGCAACACCTGTTCATATGCTACCTTTCATACAGTCCTTACCAATGATTCATACTTCAAATTGTGCTCAACCAATTTATGGTTATTATGATAGTTCGCCATTACCGTTTTACGTCGCAGAATCATCCGAGAATAAATTTGACAGATAAATTATGCATTAAAATTGCATTAGAATAAAATAAATAACATAAATAAATAAATAATAATAAAATAAAATAAATACCAAATAAATGCGTGATATTTCACTTATAAGCATTTATTTCTTATATATTTATTTTCATTGGCTTTAATATTGTTGCTAATTAGAACTATAGCAAACATAGAAAAAGTAGTAGATTCTTGAGTGAAAATTATTTTAGTAAAAAAACGTCGTGAGCTCTATTATTTAAAAAGCTTTTTTATAATGGTTATTTTCCTTTAATCACTCTAATTCAATTCAAATGTAAAAAAAAGATAAAAACAATAATAGTAAAATATTAACAAAAGAATTGATTTTTAGATAAAATATTAAATGTAAATAGCATACGAAATAGATTTGCATAGTAATATTATAAAGATGATCAAATCTATATCGCAATCAAGTAATCTTCTTAAATGTAAATGCCTAATGTTTGTTATAGATTCCATTTCAATTTAATGATCTATAATTGATATATTAATGCTCATTACAAATTTGTTATAAAAAAAACTGTAAATATTTATGTATAAATTAAAGGAAACAATTATAGCGCCGTGCATATTAAGTGCTACAAATATTTAAGCAAATAATTATAAAATTTAATATATTAATGTATTGGCAATATGCAATAAGAATTTTATATTAATTTCGAGAAAACTTTAGCAGTAAAATGTGATACGATTTAAAATAAGATTTCTTATTGCATTCAATTAAATCTACATTTAAATCGGTATAAATTTATTTTCTATTCAAATATCTATTACAAGTTGTTTACTTTTATATAAAACTTAAAACTTTTATATGACATATCGTTAAATATATTATTATTAATTACTTAAATAAATATTTAATATTACAAATATAAAACTATCTTAATAAAATAATGCAAATGAATATGTATGTAATGTAAGTTATTAAATTAGGAGATAATTGTATTCATAGTCTTTTATTTAATAGATAATATAATAAAAAAAAAAAAAATTATTTATTATAAAAATATTTATATAGCCTAAAATAAAAATGTAAAAAACTATTTCTATTCTAATTTAATGACTTATGTTACGTATATGTTAGTTTGCATTATTTTATTAAGAGAGTTTAATGCTTGTCATATTAAATATTTATTTAAATAATATATATATATATATATTTATTTATTTATTTATGAAAAAAAATGTAACTTATTCTAAAAAAACTTTTATGTTCTACAGTAATTGTGTTTGAATACAGAATAAAAATATCTATTTTTGTTAATAAATAATTGGAATATAATATAAAATATAATACAAGACTTTTCAATTATTTAATAAATCATTTAAAAACAATATTTAATGACATTTGTAGAATTACAGAAGAGAAGTAATATATTTAATTTATAATGTATGAATTAATAAAAACTGAACTTTGAAAAATATATGAAATTTTAGTTTTGTATCCGTTTATTTTGTGTATTACTTTGAAACTATACATAAATCATTTTAGCGAACTATAAAAATAATCCAATATTCACTTATGGAAGAAATTAATGTATGTACCATGAAACAATGCTCAATGTCCGTTTTTTAAGAATCAGATATTCGTTAATCTGAATACTTAAATAAAAAATAATTAAACAATATAAGATAGATCTCAATCTGAATGTAATATGACTTTTGTTATTGAAGATACGTTTATTTTTCATTAATAAATAGTAATGTAATCAAGATAATTGAATTGCTCTGTACTAATGCAATATTATTGAATATTGATTTTACACAATATAAATACAATTTTATACAATATAAATAAATAAATTGTATTTAGTTACATTCATTATATACAAATCGTCTAAATACCAGATTAATAAATAAATTAAATAATAATATAAAATTAAAATTATTTTCAAGAGAACTGATAATACGTTCATATTGACATCTATATTTTCTGTCAGTAGGATACAATTATTCAAAAAAACCATAAGAAACTTGTCACAATATTTTCATTAAACAGATAATTGTAAACAACTTATTTGCACATTCGATTTCAAAAACTTGTGAATAGCAAATCAAGTAGTAGCCATTTTCATTTTATAACCATTACAGAACGAATGGACGTATCGTGGAAATGTGCTTGTTCATATTTTATAAGAAAACATTTAATTTCGGAAACATTTTTAGTCTGAGAGGCGGAGACCACAGATACAATATCCGCCTAGCTCCCTCCCCCTACTAACCCTTTACAATCTTTATCTCTCCATTGACATTGGCTGAAGCTTTAGACCCGCCTCTTCACTCGAACGCATTTTGTTATTGACATTTGCCAATTTTCTGGCTATTTCGCAGAAAATGCCTTCCATAGAATCGAAAGAAAATCCACCCGTCAATATTTATCCCAAAAAAGCTATATACTAAAGTTAAAAAATATTAATATATAAGCTTACATTTAATTAGTATTTTTATAACATATTAATTGGTTGCTTATTGTTATTGTTGAAATGTTTTTGGTATTTCTTTTTCCTTAAAATTTCTCATTTAGCGCAAAAATGTAATGACAGGTGCAATCAAGACTATCGTCGGTTATAGGTTCAATGATATTCTACGGATTCTTTATTTAAATTTCATCTATTTTTATGTAATATAAAAATATTTTTATTTTATTTTTTTTTTAAATCATTGACTGATAATTTCTCGAGTTGCAGGAAGAGAATATAATGAAAAAGAAATCATTATTAGAGCAGTGTTGTTAAAATGTCTAAGTCTTTACACACTTTTAACTTCAATTATAGAATATTTTATATAAAATAGAATTTAGTAAAAATACATATTAAAATATCGATTTGTTATAATAAAGCAAAGATATTTTTTAAAGTAATTCATAAAATATTTTTTTTAAATAAATGTAATATTTTGTTAATAATAATAATAATTTAATATTAATACAAAAGTATAGAATTTTCTTAACTCGCATGTATTACCATTAATCTTTTATTAAATTGTGAATTTAAAAATAAATTATTGTGTAGTTTAAAAGCACTATTTGATTTATTATTCATGAATTTAAAAATATTAGTCTTTAAACGCATATGAAAAGATTATTTCTAAGATATTTCTAAAAATAAAAATTTTTTAAAACATGTACACATATAATTTTCAAATATTTATAAAAAAAAATATTCATAATATTTTACAAACTTAATTAATTTTTAATTATTCTTCTTTTTTAATATTGAGTAATTAGAAATAGAAAACAAACGTAGAAATGTAGGTATTAGAAATTAAAAAAAATTTTTTCTCTTAAACAGAACGCAATGTATTTTAATGTTTGAAATTAGAAAAAATTATCAGTAGAAATATGTTTAAATATTTTACGAATCTTAAAATACGTTATACTTTAATATTTATAATCTTCAGAGTTTAAATTTATTTAAATACAATTTATTGTTGAAATATTCACCTTCATCCTATTACTGTACAGTAGAAAATATATTTAGAAATTAAAGAAATTCTATAACAAAGAACTAGAAAACAATTCATATATTTAAAAAGCATACCATTAACAATGTATGTAAGCATGATATTTTTCTGTTCGTGAAATTTCACTTTTTTTAACATATTATGTTCCCCTTTTCAAATTAAATTTGTAGAAAAACATTACAAACTTTTCAATAAACTATTAGTAGCTTCATCATATTTTCATACACTTTTTTTAAACCTATTATTTCTGTTTCAGTATTTTCTAATCTCATTCAAACATTAATATGTTACATATGTTAATACCTTATGTATTTAAAATGATAAAATTATACTAATTTCTATTTTTATTTTACTCTATTTCTCTATAATTATTCATGTATTATTATAAGATTCTGTTACTTCTATAAATTTATTAAATTCTTTATTATAATTCGAATTTACGGCAGAACGTTTTTTTTCCCGCTTTTCTGCAATCATACGTTTTTTCACATATTCATCAAAACGTTTCTTTTCCTCGTTAGCCATTAATAATTTGGATATGTTCAGTTGATCATCTTTGCTCATGGAAATTGCGAACGTATCTTCTACTTTGTTTATTTCTGATTTTTGTATTTTAAGCATTGAAGTTTTAATCTAAATGAAAGAATTCAGATTTTGAATATTTATTTTTAGAAAGATTATATTTACTTAATGATAAATAGCAATAGAAAACAGTAAAAATAATGTTAAAGTGATTTTAAATAAATTTTTACAAACAAACTTAATTTCAATAAATTTAATATTCTAGTTAATGACATTTGATGAAACATTTAATGAATTGAAGAATCAGTAGTGATAATTTAAAAATATTTAATCAATTGTCTGAAGTAATACAAAGTTTAATTATTACATTCAAAAGAATTGATAAAAAATGAATTGATAGAGAATGTACAATGACAGTTTGTATAGAAAAGTAGAATAGTAACTAATACTGACTACTAAATTAGCTACGAAAGTCTTAAAACAACTCTGCTGTTAGCTTTTATTCAATAGTTATTAGAATATTTAAACACTTCGATTATATGGTCAAATTTTAATCATTATAGATAAATGTCACTACTTATGTTTTCTTAAATAAATGTTATTACACTACTTATTACTATTATTTAATTACTAATTTGTCTATTAAATTTAAATAAATAATTGATAAATAATTCACCTTATTCATAACAGTAGCCTGGTTAAAACCCATTACATTTTGCTGCATTTCAGGTACTATTATTTCATTTTCGTTGCTCTGATTTTGATCATTTAAACAATTGTCATTGTCCGTTTGTTCACTTGTCAATTCCAAATCTATATTTGAAAAATGATTTTCCATTTCTTGCATTGTACTAAATTTTAAATCTTTAATAAAAATTATTGGAGGAACTTGTCCAATTATTTGAATCTGAGATAATTCATGCTGCAAATGACCAGCAGCATTTTCTAATATCATATCTATATCATTCAAATTTTTAGTTGAAAACCAATATACGTTAATCCTACTAAAGTCAAGACTAACCTGAACCTTAGTAATTTCAATTTCTTTGTCTAATAAATTTGGAGCAACTTCTCCAGTAGCCATTAAATCGGATATATGCCTCATAAATATCCTATTTAAAATTGTTACCCTCTTATTCTTGTAAAAAGACGTTTGCGTTTTTTGTTTAATATTTTGACCCACAGGAGTTATAGGAACATTAATCGTTTTTAATTTCCTGAATAATTTTAAAACGAGTGTTAGGTATTTTTTTAAAAGTAATATTTATAAATGCAATTGTTGGCTTACTTTTTGGGTTCTTTAAAATTGAATACTTTGTTTATAATGATTCCTTTTGGCTTAAAAACGTGCAATGCGCCGCTTGTACTTATCCATTTCAGTTGAATAAAATTCATCATAATTCTGTAAATATCAGTACAATCAGCAATTAATAATACTAAAACAGTCTTTTTGTGAAATTAATTTGGAATATACATAGGTGAGTGATTAGGAAAAATAAGGAACAGAGCGTCCAGCATAAACATTTATAATATCAAGCGATTGAAGAAAAATTAATATATTAATATGTACGTTAATGCGATAGAGAATTTTGTATAATCCTTTTGACTATTTTAAATAAAACCGTATAATATAACCGAGCCCATAAGTTACTCATAAGTTTATAAAAATTATAGAACTTTGTAACCTCAAAATATCATCTTCATAAATATAAGAGCAATCGCAGTCAGACGGAAGCATAAGTAGACGCGCGTGTGCACCCTCCGTGCACATAATAATATGCGAGCATTGACGTTAATTCGCACACAAGCGCAAAATAATTAGCGAAGCTATAACCAATGAGAATTAAGAGAGGAAAACGCGGGCGCGTAAGCGCGCGCATATATACTCACTTTTCTTATAAAACTAAGATGAAAAGTGTTGAGGAATCGGGGCGAAAAATGTAAAAGTAAAAAATCGGTAAGTCAGAGGGGTAAAAGGGATTTTTTACAATATGAATTTTGGGACTTTGACGGTGGAGTTGAGAAGGTTATGAAAGAGCGCTTGGCCGCATAGGTTGTGCCGCGCGATCCATCCCAAGCAAGCTTATATAAAGTCTGCTAAAGCCCGCCAAGCTGGCAAGAAGATGGCGGCGCCGCCGAATGTTTCCCGCGCAAAGACGTGGATGGTGGACGGCAGATAGATGACTACATGGTATGCCGAGTGCGCGGGCGAATGCTGCGAAGAGAGTTGACTGCGGTGTCAAGTGAATCGTGTTTGTGCGAGACTCTCGGAGCTCGGAGCTCGGTGCCCGGGGCCAAAGGACTCCGTTTGAAATTGCCGCACTAACTTTACTTTTTGAATCCTCGATTTTCTTGAATTGTGTTCGGTAACGCGGGCGTAATCGCCTAGCACAAACGCGGTTGACAAAATGGGCCAGTCCGACGATATCGAGGACTCGACTTTCATGAAACACCAGGATCTCTGCCAAAAGCTTAATATGGACGCGAGCGCTGCCAGCGAGGCCTGGAGATCTTACGAGAACATAAGGCAGCACTACACTCTGGAGGTATTCCTTATTTACTTAATTACTTGCGCGAAGCGTAGGTCGCTTCTCTCTCATTTCCAGTCGTATTATATGCCTTCCTTCATTTGTTTTCCTCCTTCGCCATTAACTTATCGATATAGCATTGTAATGAAATATTTGATTGTGTTGAAGGGTGATCAACTGCATTGGATAGGATGTGCCCTGTACGTTGCTTGCCGGAAGGCCTCGACCCCTACCGTAGGAAAGACTGGAGCAAATATTCAAGGGAATTGCGTTTCCTTGACTAGACTTCTCAGGCTTTGTAATTTGCCTTTAATAGAATTTTTTACAAAAAGTAAAGCCTGGGCTGATATGTGTAATATGCCTCAAGATTTTGGAGCAAGAATAGATACATTACATAGAAACTTTTCTGTGTCGTCGGTAATATTCCAAAAGTATCAACCAATTTTTAAAGATATATTTAAGAATCCAGCCGACGATTTAAGCAAACCAATGAGATCTAGGAGACACAAAGCTGTACCCTGTACGCTTTCGAGATTATTCGAATTTTGTTGGTCACTTTTTATTTGCATAAAAAGCGGAATATCAACAATTTCTGATGATCTTGTGAATTCTTATCATTTATTATTAGTTGTCTGCGATCTAATGTACAGCAATGCTGTATTAGCAAACAGAAAGGATTTGTTGAATCCTGATTTTCCCGGTTAGTATAACTTACGCAATTTATTTTATTCAGCTTTTAATGTTACAGTTCATTTCAATCTTGGAGAAAAAAGAAATCATCATTATTAATGTAATAATAAAAAAATGAATTCTTTTTTTAAGGACTTCCTGAAAATTTCAACGATGAAAGCTATACTCCACCAGAAGTCACAAATTGCATAGTCAGCTTATTATGCGAGCGTCATAATGCTATCGCAGTTGAAGCTATTGGAATCAAAGAGTATTCCTTAAAGCGATATATGAATAAGCTTTTTAATGAAAAGACTATACGAGGAGATCAGTCTAATTTTTCTGGAATCTTGGAAGCCTTAAATTTTGATGGAAATAACAAAGCAATTAACAAAGCTTACGAACAGCATGTCCTCAGTGTTGGAGATCTTGATGAAAGAATTTTTCTGGGTAAGAAGTATTTTATTATAATTGTAATAAAGCTTGCTCAATGCTATGCTCTCTAATAATAGGATATTTAAGTAGCATGCATTTATTATGCACATATAATTCATCCGAATTTACACCTACAACTTTTTATTTAAAAATACTACTTTATAACGCAACACAACTAATAAAAAAAAAAATACACACACGCGCGCACGCACACATACACGCACACTTATTAAACCAATACTGCGATACATAGCTTATACAAACAATATTATTTTGATTCAATATCGGAGTTTAATTTATATCAAGTATTAATGTTGTATTCCTTTATTGGTAAATTACATCTTACACAAATGATCTGCAATTTTTTTTTCAAGTCATTCAATTTTTTATTTTTTATTGTTTTTTCTTGTATTCAATGCTTGATTTTGTTCTGTTTTTCTTTTTTTTTTATTCTTGTTCATCAATCCCTTTCATTTTCTGCTGCTAACCAATGTGTGCCTGCTTTACCATCACTGACATTCAGCTGAATGGAGAAGAGCAAGACTAGAGGGTGTATCACAAATGCAAGCTGTTGATGGAGAATTAGCTTGGTCTGTGTTATCAAAAGGTGGGTCCGTTAAGAAAAACGTGTTTCCTGTTTCCATCAAAATCAAATTAAATCTACAAATCTTATTTTAATATTTATGGGATTAAGTTTTTAATTATTTCATTTATTATTTCAGATAGTATACATAGCATGTATACTATCAGTCTTAGAGCCATAAGTTTCAAGATTATATTACTTCATAAGCTATATGATAAAGCTATAATTTAGGCTTAAAGTTATTAAAAGGTTTCAAAATGGTATATAGCAATGTGGCACTTTAATATGCAACATCTTATCCTTATTTTAATGGCTTTTATAACTTATTTTCACAAATATACTTATTAATACTAACTTCATTATATTAAAAAAAAAACTAACCACTATCTTAGTTTTATGTCATTCTATTTTCATGCATAGAAAACTAAATATTATTTATAATAGTTACAATTGATTGAACATTACTTGATATTTAACAAATGCAATAAAAAATTTTATATTTTAACTAGTGAGAATATTTTATCCATTTTAGTAATTATTAAATGACTAGAATTGAATAAAAAAAACAAACAAACAAACAAACACTTTAAATAGAAAAAAAAACATGTCTTCTTATTCTAAATCATTCTGTCATTTATTGTAAATTATTTCATTTTTAATTTAGCATTTGGACTCTTTAATATCATTAAATCACTAAATTATGAACAACAGTTAATAATTAAAATACAACATGATATCATAATCAATCTTTATATCGGATAAATGTTGTTGATTACATATTTCATAAAAATCTATATTGATAATTTTATTTTTTTATTTTAGGACCAGATTCACCATCAAAAATGATAAATATGAGCGATCTTCAAGAGCAGTTTCAACCAAAAAAAGAGCAAATATCGGTAGTTTTTCCTTTTCTTATAAAATTACAAATAAATTGTATCAATATTTCTATAATTAATATATATTTTTTTTGTTTTACAACTTGTATAACATGATAGATACAACATTGGGCACCACCAACGCCTCTCACTGGTCGTAAATATTTAAAAACAAAAGACGTAACAAATGCGACAACGACGTCAAATCCAACGCAAAGTGTCATACGTCTGCAAACTCTTTTAGTAGGATGTCAAGCTTTTCCATCTGAAAATCTCTTGGAAATATTTAAAAACAGTTCACCAGATATTCAAACATTTGTAGAAATGAAGGTTCAAGAATTCGGAAAAACATTCTGTGATGCATATTCACCAAAAATTGTTGATCAGGCTGAAAATACTTTTCTAGATTTTGGAAAAAAACGTTTACAATCCGCGCAAACATTATTTTATAAAGTTTTAGAACTTGTTTTAAAGGATGAAATGTCGAAGAAACAAAATTTTGATGTTTCGGTAATTATTTTTATATTTTAATAAAACCTTTTCAAAATACCTTGATTTGAATATAATATTTTAATTGCTTTATTTGTTTGTTTTGTTTTTTTTTTGTTTTTTTTTTTTTTTTTTTTTGTTTTTTTTTTTTTTTTTTTTTGTTTTTTTTTTTTTTTTTTTTTGTTTTTTTTTTTTTTTTTTTTTGTTTTTTTTTTTTTTTTTTTTTGTTTTTTTTTTTTTTTTTTTTTGTTTTTTTTTTTTTTTTTCATTCAGACTTTATTGAAAAACGATGTTTTTCTTCAATGTTTATTCGCATGTTGTTGCGAAATTGTCGTTTATTCATATCAAAATAAAGACAGAACATTTCCTTGGATTTTAAAAGCACTAAACTTGGAAGCTTATTTCTTTTATAAGGTTATTGAAGTTATTGTTAAAGTCGCTGTAGATCAGCTGACACGAGATATGGTCAAGCATTTGAATACTATAGAAGAAATGATCCTTGAATCTCTGGCTTGGAAATCAGCAAGTCCTTTATGGCAAGCACTTCAAAATTGTGAAGGCGGTGTTCCATCTTACGAAGATGTTGCATTGCCTGGTACTTTTGATTTAGTAGATCCCAACACTCCTGGGCAACCAGTATTGAGAAGAATTGCTTTAGATAGAGGAGCGCATCACGATGTTGCACAAAGTCCCATTTCCTCTGCCTCTGAACGGTTTGTTTATAAGAACTTTTAAATTTTGTACATAATTTTTATTTTAATACTAATTTTCTAATTTCCTTTATAATTTTATTAAATAATTATAGTTTTATTGTTTAATATAATTAATCGAAATAGGTAATATATAACAATTAATTAAAGAATTGTCATTATTACTTAAGTCCACAAAAATTATGTAAATATAAGTATTAGTATAATGGAAAAATCTTATTCTAATACCTTTACTATAAAATTGTTTATTGGAGAAAGAACAAAAGAAAAAAAAAATACATTAATTTATTACTGAATAGTCTATATGGCTTTATTTTCTAGTTTTTAAATCAACAAAATTTAATGAACATAATTTTAAATGCCTGTTATATAAAGTAGTAAATTTTGTTTTAAATATTTAATGAATTGATTGACAGGATGCAAATTTCATGCCTACGAGGAGATTAAAAGTTTCTTTTATTTTTCCCAAAGGTTTCAGTCTCCAGTGCCGGCATCAGGCGTTGCTAAAAAACGTTTATTCACCGATTCGAAATCGTCGGCACAAAGTGTATTAAAGGTAGGCGGACCAAGCCTATTGTCCCGACTCGTCGCAGTGCCTGAACAATCGAGTCCCCAGAGGAACGGCTGTGGATCAACATCCAACGCTTCCGTAGCAACTGTAAATCGCGACCAAAGTAAGCCCCGCCGCACGGGCTCGCTCGCCCTCTTTTTCCGTAAATTCTATAATTTGACGATCACGAGAATGCAGACGATCTGCAACTCGTTGGATATAACCGACCTCGACCTCAAGAGAAAGATCTGGACGATTTTCGAATATTCGATAATGGAGCGGACGATTCTCATGAAGGATCGACATTTGGATCAGATCCTCATGTCCGCAGTATATGTCATCTGCAAACTCGGTAAAATTGAGAAAAATACGTTCACAGAGATTATGCGCTGCTATAGGCTCCAACCTCAAGCAGAGTCACATATTTATCGTTCCGTCCTTATATCAAGAATCCAAAATAATTCGGAAGCAGCGTTGGAGGATAACAACAGGTAAAACATAAAGCCCTGTTTATTATAATAATATTTAATTTATGTGTAATAGCATAACATACATAAAAAATATCTATTCATAATAGACTACTTTTTATAAGTTTTTTTTATTAATAATTAATAGTTTAATATACATAAGAAGAAAAAATGACGCATACTTCATTAGGGTCTTAAATATTGATATAAATAATCATAAAGAAATTTCATGCTGTTTAATGTCATAAAAGAACTGTACTTAAATTATTGTTGTTTTTAATTAATGATTCATTACATTGATTGATCGATAGAGGCAGTAATTATTAATTTTATCAACATTAGTAACACATCATTTTAGCCATGTAATAAGACTTTAAAACATTTTAAATTAAAAAAATAGAAGCTAAATGTATAAATATTTTTATCGTTTAATATAATAGGAATAATCAAACAAATAATGCGGCACCGCCGACCCCTTCGGACATGGCCGCGACATCACGTATCTACGGCTCCGAAGAACGCGGGGATCTTATCAAGTTTTACAATACGGTATACGTTCCGGAGGTAAAGGATTTTGCTAAGAAGCTCGGTCTGACGGAGGGCAGTGTTACGAATCTAACGCTGAGTCCGTTGCCAAAGGGCCGATCACTCACTAGCAGCTCGCCGGTGAGACGGGTCACAGAAAGTGTCATGACTCGCGTTCTGGATCCTAAGGAGATCGCGGCCTCACCTGCGCCTCAATTACATTACTGCTTCAATCGCAGCCCAGCTAAGGTCATTTGATTTTCATTGCTGTCTCATTTCACGCGTCTTTATTTCTTTGCTTATTATATCTGATAGAATGTATAAGTTTAATCTTAACCATTAGCCGCTAGTTTTTTTTTTAAATGTTATTATTTGAAAAATTCAAAATTGTATAAATTGAAGATTGACATTCGCGCGTGTATTTTATTAGGATCTGGAGTCAATTAACAAGATGGTGACATCCGTTGACGCAAGGAAATGTGTAGGCAAGCGTTTGCTCTCCGATGATACTGAAATTCCACTTACACTGCCAAACGGTGAGCCTAACGTGAAAAAACTGATGACCGCGACAACGACGTTCGTTGCTCGAAAACTGGAGAACATCATTGGCGATCGGCGCACGCAAAATCAGTAGACCAATTGCGAATTTCAAGTAAAACGTAGGACACTGTACGGTAACCGATGGTCGTTATACAGTGAAAGCAAATGACATTATTGAGGAATAGCTGCACTACGAAACATATTTAAACACATCGTAGAAAGAGCTTACTCTCAACATGCTACATCAGCAGTCATATGAACGCCTACCGCAGTGTTCTAAACTTCTTGTATGGAGTGGTTTAGAAATTGTGCTTCATTAGGGTCATGGAAAGCACTCGCCACGCTATATACGAATACAAATCTGTACACGTCAGCGATGAGCACCATAAGCATTGTGTGTGGAAATGAGCGATAGAGTAACGAAAGGCTTCTCGAACGATCTCTTATACTGTATAATTTTATCATAGCGCAACACTCTGTGTGCTCGATATCTCGAAAGTAATGTCGCACAACCACGGGGTCCTACGTCCCACGTGAGATGGATTTGTGGGGGGGGGGCAAATTAATAATTGTCCAAATGTGATTTATTAAGTAAAAAAAATTTTAATACGAATTTGATGAAAATTTTAGCTGATAAGGCGAATCTCGTGTTCTCGCGATCTATTAGAAGCGTGCAAGCGCCTCTTATTCGACTCGTGATATTACTATGATCATTCAACACTTACATAATTCAAGCAAAATTAATCTGTCAAACTTAGTTCGTTGTGATACAAAATGTATTCAATGTCTTTTTAACATTATTAATCAAATTAAGCTTGAACTTTATATTGATGATCATAATCTTATTAGTTGCTCATAATTAATTATTATGTTCTTGAGTTTGAGTAAACAAATAATCTTCGCTTATTCATTTTATGAAAAAACTTATTGCTTTTAGCTAAATACCTACAATATTTCTAACGTAAAATTAACAAATTTAAATACTTTATTTAAAAAGAATTTTAAATTATAAAATTTACTTTAGCATACGTGAAATAATTTCATCCATCTTTAATTATTAATTAAATTTTATCATATTACTTTCGAAATTATTTACATAATTGTTAAAATTTCGTTTAAAAGACTTAATATCTTAGAAATTAATTACTTGTATAATAACATTTTTTGACAGAATCAAAATTATATGAGTTTTGTAATAAATTGATATTTCGAGTACTTACTAAAAATACTAAATTATGACGAATCAATTCATAAATATGAATAATTAATAGAGTAATCACATTAAATAAAAGGTGCTTTATCTTGGTTAATAACATTTTTAGTTATATATATATATATATATATATATATATATATATAGCTCAGCACTAGGCCCCTAACTATTGTTATTGCACCAATATTATTTGACCATTTTATGGTGGTGACTCACCTTGAAATTTTAATTCATATTTTCTTTTATTCCATAAGTTTAGAGTTATAAGCGAGTAAAAATAGCTGACGTAAAAGTATATTTTTTACAATCAAATAAATATTCATTTTTACATTCAAATATACAATATCTATACTATAGCTTTTATATTTATAATTATTATATTTAAAATATATTTTCTTTTAGCCTTACAATTACTTGCAATCACAAAAGTTAGAAATATTAATTTTTGCTTTTTATCGATATCAATTGTAAAATCGACAATTTTTTAAATGCTTAGATCTTAAATTCTTGACTACAAAAGTTAAATAAATGTTTATATGATTGTAAAATATAATACAAATATTTCAAGCTATAATAATTTATTTTTTGAATCATTTAGGTTATGTTTTTAAAATACCCAGAACAAAAATAAATTGTAAAAAATATAAGTTTGGAGGTGACTCTCTGCCTTAAAATCTGACTGATTGGAGCTTATAAATATTAGTGACATTTCTGTAACGAGTATTGCGCTATATTTTCACATTTTCTCATTTAATTTTCGATTACATTAAGCATTTCTTTGCTATATTGTTTATATATATACACACGTGTATATACATATATATATATATATATATATATATATGCGCGTGTGTGTATTTGTATGTCTGTATGTGTACTCGTATGTACTGGCGTATCGCGCGCGCATACACATATGCTCATTGTATTCAGTAATTTTCTGAAATGCGAATATCAAACCAAATAAATATAGCATAAATTTATATATAAGAATTTGATTGATATTCACTACTTAAAAACATTTCAAAATCTGGTTTGAATGCGAAAATTGTTATTATTATTTCTAGTTATGATTGCAAAACTATAAATAATGATTTAAGAGAGAATGTGCCAAAGTGACTGTGAGATTGCAAGTTCTTTTTTCTTGTATTTTGTATAAGGGTAGACTGAAATATAATACATCCGTTCTTGTAAAATTCTAATAAGTGGATGTAGAAACATTTAAAAATAATTATATTTATAAATAATCTTTATTGCTTTTAATTTAATTTGTTTAAGGAATTCATTGTCTTCTTGTTTATCAGGAACCTTGAAGTCAAACAAATTATACATGTTAAAATGTAAAGATTATTATTATTCACGTAAATAGATATGTACTTGTAAAACTATAAACGAATCTAAATATTTTAGTTGAAAATTATTGCTTATAAAATTATAATCTATATTCAAAGTCAATTGATTGCCATATAAATTCAAAATCAGGTAACTGTTTTACAAAACAAGAAATGTCTCAAATACAATTGTCAAAACATCATTAGCACATACGATTAAAAAATTAATCCAGAAGATTTTACAGGTACGGAATTAAAGAATTTGTAAAATCTAATAAAGTAATATTTACTTTACATTCGTACGTTTTTAATTATTTAAGTATCTCAATTTTTAAAAGGTAATATTGATTAAGGCGCTTAAAATCAGCCTACCCTCGTAAATTAGTCTGAAATGAATTATGTAGTTATTCATTGAAATTAGCATGAATATAGAATTCAATATTTAATCAAATAACAAACATATGAATTTATACTAAAACAATTGTAGACTTCAAGTGGATTTTGCATAAAGGTAATAATTAATTTTAGCTTATAAGTACAAAAAATATTTGTTATTAGATTTGTCATAAAATTTCGACCCAAAATATGAAATTCTTGAATAAGTTAGAATGTCAAAACTTCAATACTTTTCGTTATATAATTTTTAATATTAAAGCCACTATTAAATTTATAACTCACATTTATACATAAAAGTAAATAATATAACGAAAATATAGGAGAATTATATTCTATCAGCAAATTCAAGTAACTTTATGTTTTTATATAGGGTTGCATATATTTTTCTGTGTGCACGTGATATAATTGTTAAATTTAATAATATTGTGCACAATGAAAGAGATTTGTCGACAAACTTTTTATCAGAATATAATAAATAAATTGTGGTATGTACATATTATTATATATTGATATATAATTGATAAATAAAATGCCATTTAAAAGTAAAATATAAATCTGTGTATCACCTTAAATAAGTTGTCTTATCCTACTATTCATAATGTTACATCTAGTTTATTTAATATTAAACCAATATGGTAATTTAGTCCAATTATATTACTAATATTCGATAAATAACTTACGAAATGCAGAAGTTAAAATTTGCTTACTAGATACAAAATTCTAGTATTATTAGCAAAGTATATTATTTTTAATGACTAATTCAAATTTTACAAAATCCTTTAAGTAAAAAATTACATTTTAGAAGTTTCATAAATTGAAATATAAATCATGAATGAAATTAAAAAATGAAATTTTTTTTACCGGTTCTCCGTATTATGTTCTATATTAAAAGAATAATTCGTTTTGTACTTTTCCTTTTCCTTTTCACAAATAATAAAAACACATTGTAAATTTTATCAAAATAATTATTGAAATTTGTTATATATTTGATGATTATTATAACTTTAAAAAAAAAAATTTTGCATAGTTCCAAATAATTTTAAATTTATTATATTTCATGATCAATTTTATTATGATTTTTATATCTTATTAATTTTTGCATTTTGAAAAATAAAATAGAAATAAATTAATTTTATATTATACTAAAATTTCACAATTAGTTTTATTTTCGTTTGTAAATTGTACAATTTTGTCTATGATGATACTTAATATATTAATAAAAACGCATTTTATACAAAATGTTCTATGCACAATTCAAATAGTTCATATTAATAACAAATTTTAATTCCAATATTTAAAATGTTTAAAAATAAACAACTAGAACATTTTATATTCAATCAATTTTTATTCAAATTACATAAATGAAAAATTTATTCAATTTAAAAAATTTGTTAATCTATATTTATATTCGTAAAAGCGTCATCATTTAAAAAAAATTGATGTCTTAATTTTTATGCGGTATATTGAATATGTTCTTTAGAATTTTTCAAAATTGATTAATAATTCATAATTAATGATTTCACAAAATTATAAATGATAATAAAAATTAATCATCGATAGTCAATTTATAGATTGTCTAAATTTGAATAAACCATATGGAACGTGCAATGTTTCTTCACTTATGAATGACAATTTTGTTTCAAACAATAGACATATATAAATAATAGTAAAATAATTTAATGGCTTATCGATTATTATTTTAAAACAGTGTTTTTCCCATTACATTTTAATATATGAAAATGAATGTAGCAATATTAAGTAAAAAATTGTATATTGATTTTACAAAAGTTTTCATGATTGTAACTTATTCTTCGGAAATTAATTATAGGTTAGGCATCTTTATATCTAATTAAACTAACCATTATTGTTAATTATACATATTTTGTTTAACTGTACATTACAATTCCAATAGATTATCAGTAGCTTATTGGTAAAATTCTGTTAAAAATTCCAATGCAATCATTATTTTTCTTTAATTACAGTTTATTATTAGATGTCATTTTAACAATGGATATATATTAAATAAATTCCAAAGTTTAATAATGTAGTTTATTAAGTATCATGCATATACATGTATAAGCATGTACTCAAATACGCAGAGACACGCACATACATACCTACAAGAGCGCACATGGTACGCACGTATAGATATGTGTGTATATATACATATGCATATAATTTAAATAACAAGAAAAGTATCTAAGATTATTAAAATTCCTACTTCATAATAATGCTTATTTAAGATAATTAAACAAAGTCTTTAAAGCACAGTGATCTATGCAGCTGATGAAATTGACAACTTCCTCGGAACAAATCTCTGTTGTTTGACTCTTGCTTCTGACACGATTATTGCAATCGTCCAAAGTTTGCTTTAAAGCCATACATGTAGACAATTTTGCACACTTTTCCTGTAAAATATATAAAAAAAAATTGAATCAATTTTATGATGCATGGAGAGAGAAAAGTCATTATAAAGTTTTCAAGACTTCAACAACTTTGTCATCTAAATTATATCTAACCCAACATTAACGAGCTATTGGTATAATAGTTGCCTTAGACTTATTTACGCAATTAAATATGCATTGGGGCTTTAAACGTAAGACAAGTTACGTAATATAATTTCATACATCGACACAATATAACTTACTCGAACTACAATTTGTGGATCAACCAACTCATCGTCGTCAGCTTTCACTATTGGCACGATATTATTGACGATCGACGAGAGGAAAGACATTTTTCCAACCTCCCTCGTAATCCGGAGTCAAAGGAATTGGAAAAGCCGGGCCAATGCCTATAATATACCGTGTCTCGGTTAAGCTTTATTTATCGGGATGGGACACGGATTTTCAACAGAAAAGCACGCGGTGCGAGAGATCGCGAGTAATACGACAGCAATTGACGCTGCTTGGGGCGTTTGAAGCACCAGCTTTGTGAAATATTGTGCTTACGCAAATGCGAACAATCGTGAAAGAGAGCGGCGAGAAGAGGCGCGAAGTCATAGGCCGACGTGCTCCGCCACCTTGTAAAGTGCAAATGGAGCAACAGCGGCGCGCATGCGCCCTCGTGTGCATTTTCCAATTTGGCTGGTTTATAATAAGTCGTCATTGCTCGTTGACTGTAGCCGAGCGCCTATTGATAATCAAATGTAATGAGCTTCGGGAATTGACGGGCTTCGAAAGCCGAATGTTTTAATGCGCGAGATGGCTACGAGATTTTAGCATAGGAACATGACTCGATACGAGATAACGCATTTACTAGATAGACATTTGTCTCGTGGAATGCCCGTCGATTGCCCGTATTTCTTTAATCGTACTATCGTTATCGAATATTGCAGAGGAGGATTTGGCGAAGTTTGCTATTTGTTCGCCTGAACATTTGTATTAAGCATTTGTTAGCGATAAGAAAATGATTGTTAATACCGTAGGGTCTGCTTACTTATAAAAACACATTGTTTTAATAAACTTGGAGCTCGGGATATTATTTATTTAGTCGTGTAAACAATACGTGACTCGATTGTCCATCGAATGCATTTGGCAGGATTCTTTTAATAGAGAGACTGAGAGAGACTGAAAGAGACTGAGAGAGAGACTGAGAGAGAGACTGAGAGAGAGAGAGAGAGAGAGAGAGAGAGAGTATGTGTGGTGATAATCGAGATGTGCTGCAGAAGTAGCATGTTTTGCTTTATTTTTCCTACTTTCCCTTTCGAGAAAATAAACACGTATGCGCGTGCGTACAGCTGGCGAGACATTAGAGCCGTCGTGTATACGGCTTAAGTAATTGGTGTGAGTGCGGTGCGTAGCCAGTTCGCGCACATGTAAAGAAAAAATCACATTGTACCGTGCCTCGCACACATGCGCGCCCTGGCACGCGCGGATTTATGTATATACGTGAACTATAGACACCTAGGACCCCAATACACCTAAAGAAAACACGATTCACGACTCTTTAGGCGCACGTATAAGAGGGAAACGATATATATCAAAGTGTGGAACAGCGAGGTCTTAGTTGGGACTTCGGTGCAACTCTGCGAACATTTTTAAAAGCAGACGATCGCGAAGGTAATCGAGGCAATTGTGCCGCATGGAAGAGCTAATTTTGTCGTGGATTTTCAACTTGCCAAATTGAAAAAGAGCGAAACTTTCGGAAAAATCGATGGTTCAGCTGCGCGCCGATCGCGTACAGGTTATGTTACTCTTGCTCGGATAGACACTAACGACGGCTGACAACGCTCACACCCACAGGACCCGGATTTCCGAGTATTTTCAATATTACGCGTTGCGGAGAATTGACGAGCGAGTCAGAGAATTTCTTTATACAAGGGAGAAATTCAAGTGACAAGGAATAACCGTAAGGGGGTAACGTAGCGAGTTAACGTATTAAAGGCCCTTCGTGAGCTACAAATTGTAGAACTTCGTCGTCGACATCGATATTTTGTTACCAAATAGTTGTAGACGAAGGGAGACAAATATCATTACGATTAGTAAAAGGGGATTACTTTGTATTTTCAATAAAATAGTCGAGGCCTTTCCCTCATTAATAGCTCAATGAAACTCGCAGCTTTTAAGTACCTTCTACTGGCTAAAACGGCGACGTCTTCGACGAATGCTCGAGTCCAGCAACGTAACAAGTATTTCGTAGCCAGAACAGTGCGTGCAGTTACAACAACCACGTCGAGTTGAAAGATCGCGCTTTTTACGAATGGATGATGCTTGCTAGCGATGAACGGTATGGAGAGACATGGGCATGGACATGGGCATTCACACTCGCATCATCATCACCATCATCACCACCATCATTCCCATCATCATTCGCAAAGTAGTAGTGGCTCTTTGCATCATCACCATTCCCACAGTAACAGTTCCCACAATGTGTCCCATAATTCAAATGTCACGGGTCACCAGCAGCATCAGCACCAGCAACATCAACAGCAAGTGGTATCGAAACATAACCATGGTCAATCGCAAGCGCAAAAAGAATCTAGTGGTAGCTCCGCCACCAGTGGTCCAACAACGCCGCAAAAACCTAGAAATTACAAGCTGCTGGTAGATCCATTTTTAAAGAAAGGGGCAACCAAAGTTTATAGGTACGATGGTCTTGTACCTGGTGATCCCACTTATCCTGTAGTTCAAGTGAGAGATCCGCGTTCTCAGTTAACTAGAATATGGACTAGGTTAGACAAACTTGATTTGCCTGTACCAAGATTCAAGATCGATGCTAATTATTGTGGAGAGCCACCACCTTTAGAAGTGACATTTTGTCATTTGAATGATAATATAGATAGGACATTTCTCTCTGACATGGTTCAAAAGTTTGGCACCACTGAGGAACTTACGATATATTATCATCCTGTAACAAATAAGCATCTTGGCATAGCAAGAGTTGTTTTTGAAACTACAAAGGCTTCTAAAGCATGCGTAGAAAAATTAAATAATACTTCTGTAATGGGTAAAGTATTGAGGGTTTTCTTAGATGCTTTCGGAGACGAATGTCGAAAACTTTACGATGATTTAACTATAGAAAAGAAAATTGAAAAAAAAATTGAAAAAAAAATTAAGGAAGAGCCTCCAACTACGGTAGCAGTTGTTCCACCAACGGCATCGATTAAGGTAAACATTTATTGCACGTATTGACACTTATTACATTGGTAATAATTAGTACAATATCTTTTTATCGTATCTATAATAATTTGAATTTGCATTACATATAATTGATGATAATGAAAACAATATATTTATTGTATTGATAATGATTTTACAGACTGATGTTGAACAGAATAAAAGGGGGCAGACTCCTTCTATGGTTGAAAAATCTTCAAGTTCAGTCACAGATGAAAGAGACGATTATAGTAGGCATAATAAAAAATCGAACCTCGATAAAAGCAGGGACTCATATGTAGAGAATTCGAGGTTTTGTAATAAAGTAACAACGTCTTATCGCGGTGATTATTCGACGCCCGGAAGTACCAGTATCAGTAGCAGTGACTTGGGCTATGGTACTGGACCCAGTGAACTGAATTATCCTAGCAGTTATTCACAAAATTCGACGCCAGTCAGCAATTATGATTACTATTATAGCAGTTATCACCATCATCATCAGCATCAGCAGGCGCATCATCATCAGAGCACAAATCAAACAGCCAACTACATTGGAAGCTTAGCTCAAGGAGTAGTACAGCAGCAGCAACAGCAACAACAGCAACAACAGCAGCAGCAACAGCAACAGCAGCAACAGCAACAACAGCAGCAGCAACAGCAGCAACAGCAACAGCAGCAACAGCAGCAGCAACAGCAGCAACAGCAGCAGCAGCAACAGCAGAATTTGCTTAATCAAACGAATCCCGGCGTTTGGTGGCCGAATGCGGTCGGAGCGGAGACTCGAGGGGGCATTTATCCTCCTAATGCTTCGTGGCCGACCTCGGGCATCATCCCCAACGATAGTCCGCTAGTCGTGATGCCGTCAGTGGCTGCTCGTGGCGCGAGTATTCCCAGCACGGAGATCGTCACCATAAATTCTAACAAGCTGCCGGTCATGCCGACGAAGAAAAAGGAGTCCACTTTCATGTCGACGAGCTCGCCCGCGGACTCGGATACATCGGCAGTCCACACGCCAACCAAAGATTCGCGGCGTGATTCGCCCGTCGAGGTTCGCAAGACACTCGACCTCGACACGAGAATAGCCATGTTGCTAAAGGACAAGGCAGGCGGCATGGCCCCACCCTTCCTACAGTTCGGCAGTGACTCCGAGGATGATCACAAGTCCTATGTCGACGAGGAGATGCTTTCAAATCCGCCGAGTCCCTTCCTTACGCACGACCTCTATGAGTCCTGCTTTCAAAAGACATTGCAGCGCAACAGGGAGAGACGCAGGGTGCGCGAGAACAGCCTCGGTCAGTTTAACAGGTCCACCAGAGTTGACGAGGACCTTGGCAGTATCATAAGCTCGAGCGAGGACGAGGCACTCTTGGGTAGTTACAGCCCGACGACGGCCGCTACCGGGAATTCCGTCTCGGATCCAGAACCGCCCAAGGATCCACCACCGCCTCCTCCACCGCTGGATGACGATCGCATGTCTCTCAGTCCATTAAGCTCCGGCGATGAAAAGATCGAGGAAGTGTGTACATTTTTAACGCTTTGTTATTGAAAGTTAGAGATTTTTTTTACAAATCGAGTATTTACAAGATATTACGAATCGTCTATTAATAAATTTATTTCTCGTGATTGAAATATGCTTAGATTTAATATTAATTATTGATAGTAATTTCACATAATTGAACGGCAAGTACCTTTTGCTACTTAATACACTCCACCTTGAATTTATGATTATATGATTAATAATAATTAATGATAAAATTCATTAATGATTAAAATTAATGATTAATGATAAAATCAATATGATTAATATGGCACTTAGTAAGTAGATAGATAGTCGCTTTTCCTTTTTTTCTTCTTCTTTTTTTTTAATAACGAAAAATTTTAAAGGAGCTTGAATGAAATAGCGATTATATTGATGATGTGATAAACGAAGTACAATTGTAAATAGTTTTAAATTAACGCTCGAATGAGTAAAATTAGAGGAATCAATGAAATATTTATAGCTTATTCAACATCTTTGTGTGCGCTCGCGGTCGTGTCTCTGTACTTGCAAAATTTCCCATGCATTAATAAGATTCATGATTTCAAAATTGAATATTTATATACATATTTTAACTACTTTAATAACTCAAATAACTATTCGTTTTCCATATTAATTTCCGTCCTTTCTCGTAGATTGCCACGCACGAACCGGTGAATCAACATCTATACACGAATTACTCAGCCGTGGCTCAGCTGCACCATTATGCCGCAGCGACCGCGGCGGCAACGACCAATCATCATCAAGTCTACCAATCACACCACCACCACCATCATCAGCAAGTCCAGCATCACGTCCAGCATCAGCAGCAGCAACAACAGCAGCAGCATTGGCCGAGACCCGCTCAGTACCCATATCCGTATTGCGGGGGTGCGACGACTGCCGCCGCCGCCGCCGCCGCAGCCGCTGCCTACATTCCCGGTCAGTATCAATCGGCTGGGACTACCACGGGACTACATGGGACTCCGACCAGTGGCATCGGTCTCGGGCCTCCCACGCAAAATGCCGGCTTTTATCCCAACTTTCAAACGAGATTGCAGGTCATTGCCAATCACACTATCGCCAAGGACAATCCCCAGGTAACGTATTATTTTTACCGCCGACCGCATTGTATCACATATCCACCTCGATATATATTAGCCTATCGTTCAACCAGTAGTTCAATTATAAAAAGACACGATTAATCCAGTCGTCTACTTATATTAAGCGAACATTGTTTTATGTATCGTTTCATCATTTTTATCTGACAATGAACGGGGCTTAGAAATTGGGTATACATTGGCATATTAACGAACGTAAAGATGAAGCCGAGGTAATGTAACGAAACCAATGAAAAATAACATTTAATTACAATTGTACAGGGTCCAACCATCAATGGCGTGCTCAACAGAGTCGTTAACGAACTTAAGCAAATTCTAAAAAAGGATTTCAACAAGAAGATGGTTGAGAATACGGCCTTCAAGCTGTTCGATGTCTGGTGGGACGAGCGCAAGAAGAATGAAAAGGCCTTGCCCGTCGGGGTCGGTACCAGTACCATAAGTAACAACGTCGTCACGACCGCCCCCACCAACAGTGCTGAGGTCGCGCCGGCGAATGTCGCGAGCAGTACCCCTGCGCCCGTGAAAGAGGAGCCCAAGAACCAAGGCCTTGCCTCGCTCTTAGAACAGGCAACAACGCCACTGGGCCTGAATTACGATGGCTTCGGACTCGGCATCAGGGCTAGCATGCCAAAAATGCCGTCCTTCCGGGTGAGTCCTCAGTTCTCTCCTTTCAGGCGAATTGTCGCATCGGTGCTGACAAAGTCG